AATAATGAGACTTTTGGTAATATAGTTAGGAGGTGGGATCAATAAATTAACCACACTCATTCTATCTTCTGCAGGATGTTGTGTGCTCTGTCATTTTGGACTAAGTACTAAGTTGTTTATTTGTCAGATGGCTAGTCATTATTTTGTTTCTTCAAGCATATCACTATCTTCTACTTCACCGTATAAATCGAGTATGACCATTAGAAAGCAACAAAGTTTGTTACGCTTACTTGCCAATATCTTTAAAATCATTCATCATACTTAATTTAAACACGAGACGAAGAATAAATTCATTGGTGTCGCTGTGACAACGCCATTTGCCACTAGGTGTGGCAAAGATGAATATATATCATGTGAAGCCTCTGTAATCAAACTCTTGCTCTAGTCAAAGGTTATAGGGAACTGTAATCGAGATTATCAACCTCATGTATGGTTCGTCAGGCCTGCCCACTATTTCATTTCTTATTCGATTCCATCATAGATGTCTTCCTAAATGTCACGATTTCTTTATCTAACTTTCCAGGCGGTTGATACCCTACTATAGTACTCGCTTGTCGACCTAGGACTATAGGGTGACACAGTTATGTTTGGTGAAGGCCTTGACTGAAATCAAAATCTCCTAGTGGCCTTGAGCAGTAGTCCAAGGATGTTTTGATGCGCTTTATGAGTGCAAAATATTACTCCTAATTAGTTCTGTGCAAATATTTAAATAGTAGTATAGAATGGTTCAGTTGGGTGCATGGACCACTTCATTTGTCTTGAGAGTCTCATCACCCCTGATAGGTTATTGCCTGACTTTCGTCACTTGTGGCATAGGTGATGTGTCTGTCTCCCAACCAATTTTATTTATTTATTTATTTGAACGCAAATATTAGTACAAGGGGGCACCAGATATATATGCGCCACACAAAAAATTGTCATTTCATTTTAATTGTATGAGGACTATGATACTGCTCGGGTGCACAGAAGTAGGTGATTTTCTTAGGGGACCATACTCCGAGCCTTTGACCTAAAGTTCTGATCCACAAGGCAGTGGAGCATCGTGAGGAGATGCAGTCCCTTGGTAGCCGGTGATCAACAATTGGTTCATGCACAATTTGTTCTATCAGGATACTGGAGTCCATGTGCACCATTGGTTTGGAATCAGGGTTTTCTAACTCCCCTAGATGGACTCACTGTGTCCACCAACCCGATTAAAGCACTGGGCATTCGCTTTTCGTCCCCTCGATTTCGTAAACAACAGTAATGCCACTAGAAAGCAGTGAGTAGGACTTCCCTGGCAGAGGCTGTTTATGCGTGACCGTGTGAGAGCATTTGGAGAGAGACAGAGCGGACCCTTCCCACTCTCGGCCGTACCAGGGCATTTTGGGGCTAAAACCACCCTCAACTAAAGGAGTACGTCAAGCAGCAGTTCACTATGTATTACTCTATGGGTGTGAAACATGGTCTTTAGTAATAGAAAACATGTATAGGGTGCAGGCCCTTGGTCATAGATATCTACGAGGCATTGTCGAACGACTGAGTAAGCAATGCTAAGATTAGACTTAGGGTATTGTGTAATATGTATTTTGGGGCTTACAGTCCAATAACATTCATTTACTATCTGAATCAAAAGCTACATAATATCACTTCCAAAATTATATATATATATATATATATATATATAGAGAGAGAGAGAGAGAGTTTATATTCATGACATCATATATTCATCACATCATATGATTAAATTTATAGATCTTATATTACTAGTTTAAATGAATTCGGTCAAATATATTTTAGGGTTCTGTTTTATTATACTTATCTTAATCTCGTTAAAGATGCTGGACTCTTAACAAACCTTTGACTGTTAGCATATTTCTAATGCAGTTTCTTTGTCTTTATATGCTGTTTATACATGTGTAATAAGTAGGTTAATTATATATTTCAAGCTGAGCTGAAATTAACAAAATATATGGTATGTGGAGCAGTAATTAATGTTAATCTTTTGGTATTGTTAGTTTATAGTCTATGTTGTGATATCATACCTTTTTTTGGGAAAATTAGTCCATTCGACGTATGTAATCTTAGTCACTTTAACTATCATCTGTTTATTTCACTATAGCATCAATCAAAATCTAGTGTCTGTGAAAAAATACTAGTATTTATACTTATTCACCGAAAGCGGTTCGTTCCGTCTTACTTTATGGCAGTGAAACATGGCCGATAAGGGTAGAGGATATTCGTAGGCTACTAGTATTTGATCACAGGTGTCTTCGAAACATTGCTCGTATATCCTGGGACCACCGAGTAAGTAATGCAGTTGTTAGGAGACGGGTACTAGGTAAGAATGGCAAATCGACTGATGAAGTAGTGAAACTTCATCAGTTAAGATGGCTGGGACACGTGTTACGTATGCCCAATCACCGGCTGCCCCGACGTGCAATGTTTCATAGTGTAGGAGTAGGTTGGAAGAAAGCTAGGGGTGGCCAGACCAAAACGTGGCACAAATCTATGAAGTCACTGACAAGTGGACTGGGCCATGTTGGTAGGTGTAGACTACCTGGTTGGAATCCGCGAGATGATAGCAACCGATGGTTAGAGACCTTGAATGACGTGGCTCAATATCGTTTGCAATGGCGAAGGTGCATCCACTCTTTGTGTTCTACCAACTTCTAATCTTCTGAATCCCTCATGTCTCTATCTTTTTCTCTTTTCAAATTTATTTCACTGTATTATACTCCTTGAATAACATCTTCAGACCCTAATCTTTCGGATTACTGCTTATACTCTTACTACTTCTACTACTATGGGATTTGAATCGAGAACTTCATCTCTGTGCTAATGTGGTATGGCAACTCGAACTGATGTACGTACGTACGAAGTTCGGGTACGTACGTTGAAGGCTCCAATGTGTAATTTGGAGCGAGGTTTTAGTAGACCTGGGACAGCGTTTCGCGCACTAGAATCTTTGGCCATGGTGACAATTGAGGAGGAAACCGAGACTGGAAGTTTAGTGTTGAAAGTCAAGGTAGAAGGAATAGTAGTAATTGAAGAAGGAGATTGATTATGAATACAGTGGTCTTGAGTGCTGTTAGAGGTATGAGGGCAGTTATCACTTCCCGGCTGCCCACACCGTGGAAGGGTTCTTCTAGAGGTACCTGAAAAGGAAATCGGATTAGAAGTGGTCTTAATGACCTGAGAGCGTGACCGAAGTGCCCAAGGGACAACTGCTTGATGTCGGTCACACACGACCTTTTTGTGGGAGATTTTTGTGTTAGCTCTGTTCTTCAAAAAAACCTTACCGCCGGAGACGGATATCCGTGGGATAAGGCGAGGCGTGCATTTTTAGGGTCGGCCTTTTCTAACCCCACCCCTCCTTGTGGGAAGGCAGCATCGCTGTCATGCTGGTTGTCTGAAGGAAACACCTTGCTGCCGTCACACCTCTGTACAGTCAGCAGTACAACTTCGCCTTCGGACCTTGGGTTTGCTGCTTTTAGTCTCACCGCTCTTCAACCGACCTGTCTGGCATGGTAGGACCTCGAGGAACGATTGTTCCAGCCAGTATAGCTCGATTGCTTCATGACGATAGGCAAGCCCGACCACCACGTCAAGGTAGCAGCAACGGTCGGGATGACATGGCTCAGAATCGATCACAATGGCGTAGGTGTATACACTCTTTATCTTCCCTTAAACCTTGAGACTAAAATTGCTTCATATCTCTCTTCCTTCCTGTACTATATCCTTATATACAATCTATAATTTATATACTACTACCACCACTACTAAATTAATTACTTCTATGAATCCAGTGTTCATCTTGTTGTGCTAACGAGGTATGGCAACTTGGACCGATGCATATATGTGCCTGGTCCTACGTTGTAGCTGACTGACTGACTGACGTTCGAAGTTCTACGTTGTGACTGACTGATTCACCGAAAGCTTTGTTACTGTTAGGCGTGAAGTTTTATATGATAGGCAAACCAAGTTGATAAGGTTATATTGAAACCATGTCAGCTGAGATGCTTGTGGGATGTTGCACGTTCTGAACCATACACATTGAGTTCTAAGTGGTTTGGGAGTGGTTTTGCAAACTAATTTATACTCGTGTTTATCGAATTAATCATTGTGAATCAACGAAGAATTACTGTATTTGCTATCGCTGATATATCAAAACTGGTTAATGATATGGTATGTTTTATGGTGCGCTATATGGTATCCGTTTTGTTTTCCGGTGTTCTATAACATTTCGTAATTAATGTTCATTTAACGTAAAGAGCTCTAAAAGTTACTTGTCTCCAGTATCCATTGATTTTCCTAATGATAGTGATCAAAGCGCTCGACTATCAAGCAGTAGATTTAAGGTTTGAACACCGCGTCATCTAATTCGATTTGGCGATTCTTTAGTTCTACTTGTTCTCAAACAGAATCAGTGTGGGTCAAAGTAGGTGGGGCGAGATTTGAACCTAAATACTTTGATCACAACCACCACCCAGAGCTTTTTACATAAGTTTGTATTTGGTAAACAGGATACAAATTTAGATGTTATCTTGTATGCTAGCTGTTATTCTTGACTTCTGTGGTGTTTTTCTCTTTTTAGAGTGTAGCATTAATACTGGTCTTGACATACGCTACATAATTCTTGTCAGTTGGCTAGTATGTTACCGGCAATTACGATTGTTGTTTTTATTAATCTATAAATGATGTTGTCACATTTTTGCTACATTTGTTTATTTCAGTAAATTGATAATTGTAGGTAAATTGTTTAACACTGAGTGTCTAGCCGATACTTCTTTGTATGTGTAAACGCAACTAAATAAAATAATTTAAAATATTTATGTTGATTAATAAGTTCTACTGATTCGTTTCAAATTCTTTTTAGTACAAAAATAATTAATTAAATTCAATCGTCAATAGATTAAAGCATTAATGACTTGCTCTGTTTTTTTCTGATGAGTGAATATAAGTTGATATACCTATATACACGTATATTATCGTTTTCTAGATTATAATAGATCATCATTATGTCAAATGTTGTTGTACGGACAAATGAATTTTCAACTATATGGCCTCTATTGCTAGATTATAATCAACGCGAATGTTTACAGATTTTACGGCGTCTTGAATTAGAGGCCTATAGTAAAATTGTAGCAGTATTACGAGCACAAGGACCATTGACAGAAGAAAAGAAAAAGCTATTGCATAAATTACAACGTCTTTTGAGTATTTCAATTGATCGGCATAAAGCTGAAGTTCGTAAAGCTTTAAATGATGAAGAGCTTGCAACTATATCAGAAGCGTAGGTTTTATTACTGCTATTAATATTATTATCATTAGTATTAGTATTAATATTGATATTATGCATTAACAGAATAGTAGCTGTGTGGTTAAGGCGTTTGACTTTCAGCCACCGGACTTCAGGTTTGAATCTTGCTCCATCCAATTCACTGTGAGAAGCTGGGTAGTATCAATTTCGACTTACGCCTGTTACTCCCAAAAAGTAAATAAATAAACTCCCAATGGAGCATAGGCCACCGACCAGCATTCTGCAACCCACTTTGTCCTGGGCCTTCCTTTCCAGTTCTATACAACTTTTGTTCATTCTTCCCATGTCTGTCTCAATTTCACGGCGTAATGTTGTAGTGCCGCGATTCGTTAACCGTTTACTTCGATAACCGTTATAATTCTAAACTTAACGGTGCGTAAAATCAGAAGACAAAGGATAGCAGCAACTACAGTTTATTGTCGAATGACTCAGGTTCGAAAGTTAACAACACCTGAGCGAATATGAACGAGCGAGTGAACAGGCAAACAAGCAAAGGAAATGAACGAGAAGCAAGCGAGCGAGCGAGAGAAATAGCAAGCAATTACATAGGCAATTTATAGTCAAATTTAATACGGGCACAGCAAAGCAAAACAAAGGCTGATAATAATATTTGCGTGCGTACATATATGGGTAGGAGTATGAGTCATCGAATGATATTTAAGCAGTCAACATTTCGGCTAGAGTGTCATGTGCTCTAGTGTTATTGCAGTGCAAAGAATATGCAAATTGTTACTATCCAAATGACAATGTCTGTTAAGTAAGTTATAAAAAAGGGCTTAACCAAAATTGGCTATAATCGAAATTGATTGTAGGATGGTTGCTATATTACTCCCCCCTGCAAACAAAGATATATGAAAAAATGTCTGTGTTTGCATAATGTACAGTAAATTGGATAGCGTAGTTACAATCATTTGAAGATATGGGCCTGTATAAAATTAGAATGAAGTTAGTGTGTATTTAGTTCGTGCCCGTCCGTTAGGCTATACAAAATAGCTGTAAGGAATAGAAGGGATATGGTATCGCTTCGAAAAAAAAACTACACGTATGAGCATAAGGGTGTACATAAGCTGTGCCAAGTTTAATAGCGTATAGCATGAATTTAATAATCCATATGTATACAATGAAGAGGAAGAATTATAATTAATAATCAAAGTAGCAGAAAATTATCAGTAAAAGATTGTAGCGACATAACGTTGCGGCCATCTTACTCTGCGACCAGATTTTGTCGTTATCGGAGTCTCTTCGTTTTGGTGCGTTAGCGTCGTTGACTCCTGAGATTCGTGTCTCGTCGGTGTGATCGTCTTCGAGAGGCTTGTGCTTGTCGATTGAAAATCGCTATCGATGAAAGCTGGCTTCACACGATCGATACTGATTACGTCTGTCTTCCCAGCTTTTTCTACCGTGACTGTCTTATCTGTCTTCGTAATCACTTTAAATGGACCTTCATAGTTCGGCTGCAGAGGTGGTTGTACGTTGTCTCTTCTGATAAATACGTGCGTGCTATTATGTAGTTGCTGAGGTACGAATACTCGACGTTGTTGTAGTCTGGGAAGTGCTATTTTTAAATCGCTCATGTGTTTCTTCAGGCGTTGGACGTAGTTGGCTACATCAGTCGGAACACTTTTACCTGAAGCGAAAAACTCTCCGGGTAAACGTAAAGTAGTTCCATATACCAACTCGGCTGGACAACATCCCATATCCTGTTTAATTATTGTTCTTAAACCTAACATGACTAAAGGAAGCTTATTAGCCCAATCGTTATTGACAATGACAGATGTAAGGGATGCTTTCAACTGCCTATGTAGGCGTTCAACCATTCCGTTTGCCATTGGATGGTAGGATGTCGTTCGTATACGTTTAATTCCGAGGAGTTCTGTAAGCTGCTGGAAGAGTCGACTTTCGAATTGAGCTCCTCTATCGGTCGTGATAATTGCCGGTATACCATAGTGAGAAATCCAATTCTCGATTAGGGCTTTTGCTACAGATTCGGCTGAGGTGTCTTTGATTGGCACCGCTATAGGCCATCGGGTAAATCTATCGATGCATGTAAAAATATAGTTGTACCCGTTCGAAACTGGCAGTGGTCCCACGATATCGATGTGTATATGTTCGAATCGAGTGTCTGGCTGTGAAAATGAACCCATTGGCGAACTAGTATGACGATGTACTTTGGCTTTTTGACATTTCATGCATGCTTGCGTCCAATTTCGTATATCGCGATTCATTTTCGTCCATACGAAACGCTCACTGATTAATTTCATCGTGGCTTTTATTCCCGGGTGCGATAGGTTATGGATACTTTCGAATACTTTCCGTCGCAATGGTTTAGGAATGAATGGGCGAGGTCGGCCCGTCGACATGTCACATATTACTTTCGCGTTGCCGAACTGAATATCTTCGAATAATAATGACGTCGTGTCATCGAATCTTAGCTTGTTTAGTTCGATGTCTATCTCTTGTAACTTCGCGAGACCGTGATAATCAATTCCATTTGTAATAATCGCATTTATCGTTGTTCTGGACAACGCATCTGCCACTTCGTTATTATTACCTTCAATATACTGTATGCTAGAAGTAAATTGGGAAATAAATTCTAATTGTCGAATTTCCCTCGGCGAATAGTTATCCTGCTTGGCGTTTAATGCTTTCGTGAGGGGTTTATGGTCTGTATACACTGTAAAAATGGTACCCTCTATCATGTGTCGGAAATGTTTGATTGCCAAGTAAATCGCTAATAGTTCTCTTCCGAACGTACTGTACCTCGTTTGTGTAGGGTTTAATCTCCTCGAGAAAAATGAAATCGGTTCCCACGTACCGTTTACTAACTGCTGCAGTACAGCTCCTACTGCTATGTTCGATGCGTCCGTCATGATGGCTAGTGGCGCTTCGCTCTTTCGTCGAACTAATATCATTTTCTCATGAAGTGCTCGCTTAGCGTTCTCAAAAGCCTGTATGGCCTCTGTCGATAGATGGAATGTTCGGGTATTTCCTCGCAAAGCGTCCGTTAATGGCTGTAGTATTGCTGCGCAGTTTGGAATAAATCGCCTATAATAGTTTATTAGTCCCAAGAATCGTCGTAACTTTTTTTGTGACTCGGGCAACGGATAATTGCGAATAGCAGCAACTTCTGCTGGAACTGGCATAATACCTCGAGAATTTATCATATGACCTAGGAATTGCAATGATTTCTTTCCAAATTCACATTTCTCCACGTTAATAGTGACACCATGTTCTTGAAGTCTCGTGAATAACTGTCGTAGATGTTGTAGATGTTCTTCGACGGTAGCGCTAGCTACTAATATATCGTCGATATATGCGTATACCCCTGTCAAACCTCTAACAACCTGATCAATAAATCGCTGAAAGGTTTGAGCTGCATTAGTTAGTCCAAATGGCATTCGTAAAAACTCAAATAAACCAAATGGAGTGATTACGGCCGTTTTCGGTATGTCTTCTGGGGCCACTGGAATGTGGTAGTACGCCCGAACAAGATCAATTTTCGAAAAAATCGTAGCACCTTCCATTTCGGTAGTGATGTCGTGAATATGTGGCACTGGGTATCTATCTGCTATCGTTTGCTTGTTAAGGGCTCTATAATCTCCACATGGTCTAATTTCTCCATTCTTTTTGGGAACCATATGTAACGGAGATGCCCAGGGACTATTAGATGGCCTTATGATACCAAGTTTCATTAGTTTTTCGAATTCTCGTTTTGCAATGTTTAACCTTTTTGGGTCCAACCTTCGCGCTCTTACTCTAGTCGGTGGACCTTTCGTGACGATATGGTGCTGTACTGTATGTTTAAGATCTTTGTTGTCGTATGATGACCTCGTTAAGTCGGCGAACTTATTTAGAAGTGACTTATATTGCTCGTTCCTATCTTTCGACACTACTAAATTCATAGATACATGATCAGTGGTCACTCCTCTTATGACTACTGAGCGTTCTCCATTCACTAGTTGGTTTCGTCGAGAATCCACTATTAGGTCAAAATTCTTTAAGAAATCGATACCAATTATGGGTACGGAAACATCAGCGATCACAAATTCCCAGCGAAGAGAAATATTACGGCCGAAATTCAAGGTTAGTTTTCGCTTGCCATATGTCTTTATATCGGATCTATTCGCTGCTTTAAGAGTTAGCGCAGTATCGATATTTTGTTTTTCGTTGCTCAATGGAGGGACGACGCTTATCTCTGCTCCCGTGTCTACTAAAAACTGCGCGCCCGTTACTCTGTCCTGAACATAGAATAAACGATTGCTCGTGGGAGCTGCGTTGATTTTCGTAGTCGTTACTGAGAATCGTTGGGATCGTTTAAATTTGCATGGAGACCTGCATTTTCGAGCTCTGTACCCAAATGTTTGATGGTACCAGCATATAGCAGGATCTGGTAGTCCCTTAGAAAATGATCGGTTTCTATCTCTTGATCTGCTGCGCGACCAACTTCTTTTCCTGTCGTTGTGATTTAGACTCGTTAGTTTATGGCATAGCGCATTAATTTCCTTTTGCAAGGCCTCGATTCTTTCGTCAACTGTGAAGTTGAGCGTTTGTGAAGTCGCATTTCTCATTCTCTCGTAAATCTTATCGGCTATTTTAGCGATGTTGTCTATGTCTACATCGCTATCTCCAACAGCGAGGATCTGCTGTACGTTCGGTGGGAGTCGTCGCAACCATAACTGGTAAAATATATTTTTATCCACATTTCTGTCTCCAATTACGTTGCTCATATACGTTTTTAACTGCGAAGGCGTTCTATCTCCGATTTGAACTTCACTGAGCAACTGCTCGACAGCCTGCCGGTCGTTTAACGAGAGAGCTTTTATTACGGCCTGTTTCAATACATCGTACGGATTTACCGCATCCGGCTTAGTTAGGACCTCTCGTACCTTGTCTGCTACTTCATCTGGAAGTAGTGAGCTTGCGTAGCCGAACTTATGTCGCTGTAAAAGAATACGATTGGCTACGAAGTAATTTTCAAGTCTAATAAACCAGAGTTGAGGATCAGTAACATTAAAAGAGGGAATAGTAACATTAATAACTCCCACGGATGGTGACTGTGAAAGATCGATTGTTTCGTTATTTAAAGACATTACTACTAATAATAATAATAATAAATTAAATAGTATGCGAATATAACGTTATTGTCACTAAGAGAAATGAATCGATGAAAAAAAATGATAATAACAAAAGGTACAATTTATAAAATGGAACAGACTTACTAAATTGCACCAATATATCAATTGTTCGTGAATAATCGTTATTTATTATGAATATTATCGTTAAGTTCAATAATGGGATAATGTACGTACGATTAAAATTGTGATATAATAAATCCACAATTACGATTATAATCCAGATAATAATTCGAATAGAAACAGAGTACGTTGAATTTTCGAAATGAAATTATCTCGTCGAAAATTGTTTTGTGTTCGCTCGTCGAGGCATCCAATTCTGTAGTGTCGTGTTCGTATGGCGAGGCAACCAATTATATTGCGTCGTGCTCGTTCAGCGAGATATCCAATTCTATTGCGTCGTGCTTGTTCGGCGAGGTATCCAATTCTATTGCGTCGTGCTTGTTCGGCGAGGCCTCCAATTCTGTAGTGCCGCGATTCGTTAACCGTTTACTTCGATAACCGTTATAATTCTAAACTTAACGGTGCGTAAAATCAGAAGACAAAGGATAGCAGCAACTACAGTTTATTGTCGAATGACTCAGGTTCGAAAGTTAACAACACCTGAGCGAATATGAACGAGCGAGTGAACAGGCAAACAAGCAAAGGAAATGAACGAGAAGCAAGCGAGCGAGCGAGAGAAATAGCAAGCAATTACATAGGCAATTTATAGTCAAATTTAATACGGGCACAGCAAAGCAAAACAAAGGCTGATAATAATATTTGCGTGCGTACATATATGGGTAGGAGTATGAGTCATCGAATGATATTTAAGCAGTCAACATTTCGGCTAGAGTGTCATGTGCTCTAGTGTTATTGCAGTGCAAAGAATATGCAAATTGTTACTATCCAAATGACAATGTCTGTTAAGTAAGTTATAAAAAAGGGCTTAACCAAAATTGGCTATAATCGAAATTGATTGTAGGATGGTTGCTATAATGTGTTCATTGGTATTCCTCTTTTCCTTTGGTCTTCAGGATTCCATGTGACGGCTTTTCTTGTGACGCAGTTGGGTGATTTCCTTAATGTGTGTCTTATCCACTTCCTGCGCTTCTTTCTGATTTCTTCCTTCACTGGAATCTGGCTTGTTCTCTCCCACAGTAGCCTGTTGCTGATAGTGTCCGGCCAACGGATCCGAAGTATTTTGTGTAGACAACTGTTAATAAACACCTGTATCTTCTGGATGATGGCTTTCTTAGTTCTCCTTGTCTCCGTCCCATACAGTAGAACTGTCTTGACATTTGTATTGAAAATTCCAATCTTGATGTTGGTTGACAATGGTTTTGAGTTCCAGATGTTCTTCAGTTGTAAATATGCTGCTCTTGCCTTTCCGATCTGCGTCTTCACATCTGCATCAGTTCCATTGTGTTCATCAATGATGCTGCCCAGATATGTAAAGTTTTCCACATCCTCCAAAGCTTCTCCATCAAGTGTAATTCGATCGGTGCATGCTTTATTGTATCTGAGAGTATTACTTTCCCCTTTGTTTATATTGAGACCTACTGCTGATGAGGCTACTGCTACACTGGTCGTCTTCTCCTGAATTTGTTGTTGCGTGTGTGATAGAAGAGCCAGATCATCTGCAAAGTCTAAATCTTCCAGCTGCATCCTATCTCTCCACTGTATCCCATGCTTCCCTCCAGATGTTGACGTCTTCATTATCCAGTCGATCACCAGGAGAAAGAGAAAGGGTGAGAGTAGTATCACCAGGTGTTAAATATAGAGTTTGACTCAAAGTTAAGAATATGAATCTTTACTTGGTTGGTGAGTTAATAATAAAGTGGAGTGGCGGCTCAGTAGTTAAAGGATTCTACATTCAGGTATTAAGCTACAGGTTTGAACATCGCTTCATTTACTTCAGTTTGGATAACTGGTTTGTATTTCACATAGGCCTCATAATTAGAATGTGACTCGAAGCCAGTTACACAAATCTGTATATGGTTAATGAGTTAATAATAGTAATAATCAAAATATTGAACATTAGTCTTCTTATTTTTTCCTTTTTTAAGTGTATGCGGTAAAGAAGTTGATGAAGAATGGATCTTAGAGGGTAAACGTATTTCACCAATTTTTCAACGTCCAAGTCCTGAGACTATTTTTATATCACAAGCTAATAAAGCTTCTTTTGAACAGTTGATTCGTAATTCTCGACTACCATGTCCAGCGGAAACAGCAACATTTTCTGAAACTTTCATAAAATTAGCAAAATTGAATGATGATATAGTTGATGTTAAACAACCATCAGTTGAACAGGTAAGACAAAATAAATTTGGCTGCAGTTATCCGCAATGTTTTCAATGTCAAATAGATTTGATATTTTGAAGCCTTCAGCCATTTCTTAATTTATTTTATAGCTGAGCGCTTCATGGAGGATTACATTTTAAATTGTAACATTCATTATTAGGTTTATTTTCTTATTTGGGGTAATGGGCTGGACTACACTTACCTGTTTATATTGGACAGTTGGGAATAACTCCAAACGTTCGGAATGTAATTACATTTCAATTACGTATTCATGAAATGAATAAAAACCGGTTAAAGTTTCTGGTAGCAGCCTACTTTATGTGTCTTTAACCGTTAATACTACTTTGTATCTATGTATCCTCATTATCTTCAGGCTGAAAAGTAAATTATACTAGAGCATTTTTGAAGTATTTTCATTTATTTCTGACTACGAGAAGGTGAGTTCAATAAAAAAGGATTTTTAAAGAAAAATATTGAAGCTTTTTCTGACTTCTATCTAAGACTCCGTTAGTCCATGGAGTTTTTAACCTGTTGATAACTGTAGACCGTTAGATTCGCTGGAATAATTCACTCGTGGCCAATTAAAGTCACAAAAACTGTCTAAGGTTCTCAAAACATTTATATATAAATATGTGTATACATATTAAATGATTTTACAATAGACAATATTTATCTTAGATTGAAAACTCTCACATTCAAAGGAATTGACAGTCATCTTTCTTCAAAGATATGTCCAAAAATGACCACTTATATATATATATATATATATATATATATATATATATATATATATATATATATATTCAGAAGGGGTTTTGTGGAGATTTCAGTATTTTTTCAGGTTTTCCATGGTGGTCTAGCTTCAATTAACTCATGATTTCAACTATGAAAAAAATATATATCTGGAAGATGAAAAGTTTATCTACTGGTAAGACAGCAGTTGGTTTACGATTAACCAGTGAGAGATTGAAAAGAAAATTGCACGATAAATAAACTAGTTACTCATGAGTAACACAATGAACATCTATAAATCTCACACTGTCTTTTATTTGTCGTTTTATTTTAGAAATGTCCTCCAATAGTAGTGACAAATGATAAAGTATGTGATGAATCGAAGACAGACATTCACACTGTTAAAGAATCAATTCACTTTTCACAAAACAAAAATGAAAGTAATATTAAATTAGATCATTCGAATAAATTAACAGAAAAATGTTCTCCAGTGAAAACTCAAAATAATCCGCTTGTTAAATCACTACTTGAACCCAAAACTGCTTCTATTCAGTCATCATCGATAAAAGATAACAATTATGTCGTGGATAAAAATTCCTTGGATGTTATGTTACCGCAAAAAATGGAGATTAGTTCATCACTTCAAATGGATATTCAACAAGAAAACCCTGCCCTATCCACTTCCTTTTCTTCTTCTCCGTCATCTTCATACACTGAAGTTATATGTGCAAAAAATCAAGTTTTATCCAATCAACTAACATCATTGCCGATAGTTACACGTGAATCTTCATCTTCTGAAAATAGTTGTCTATTGAAATCGGAAAATACTTCACTTGTCAATTGTATTAGTGATACTATATTGAATAGACCTAGTAAAGTTCATGAATCTGTTTCGTTGAATGAGATAAATACGTCAACTTCAGTTGATGGTCAATTTACAACACTAGCTACAACAACAGCTAATGTTGTTACCTATGCGATTTCAGAATCTCGCACTATTCAACCAGTTTCTAGTCAAGTCAATCGAATTCCTATTACAACTACTATAACCAGTGGCAAAGTATTGAATTCATCTAATTATCCAACTGTACATGGCGTGAATCTGTCATCATTGCCATTATCATCTTCAGCTCATACATCTCAACATTTGGTCGTACAAATGCATCGAAATCCTGACGATTTATTGGTTAGAATTTTAAAGTGTCCTTTTATCCTTGTTTTAATTTTGTGTATTTTGCTGTGAAATTTTTATCATTAATTACTTAAACTAATTATTGGATGAGCAGTCAGTCACAACATAGAATCTGGTACATATGTACATCGACTCAGGTTGCCACACCCTATTAGCACAGATGATATTTGCCAAATCCCGGAATAATAGAGGTAGTAACAATATCAGTGATAGTAGGGAAGATTACTTATCAAAGATACGATTCAAGAAAATGTGAACTAGTGAAGGTAAAGAAGAATTTTTAAAAAACATTCAAAAGCCTAGAATCTGAGGAAAGACAAGGAGTGGATGCATCTGTGCTATTGCAGAAGATTTTCGTCCATACTATTCAAAGTCTCCAATCACTGGTTACGATAGTCATGCAGACCCCAACTAAGTAGTCTAAACCTTTTAACATGGCTTAGTCCGATTGTCAATGTTTCTGTAACCTCGTGCCGTGTTTGGTTCGACTACCCCTAGCTTTCTTCCAGCCTACTCCTACACCGAACAATGTAACACATCATATCACCTCACCTATATTTGAGTCTGTATACGTTTAATTTTGCTAGGACTTCCAATTAACTTATTTGACAGACGTAGTGTCATTAGAAAGGTAACAATTTGTCTGTATCTTTGTATGATTATGTGTTTCAACCTACATGCATATTCCTCTTACTAGCTTAAATCGCCTGATGACTCATTAACTTTCCTTATATATATGCTTCTTATGTCTTATCAATTCATTCGCCTTAATTCGCTCACATTCGTTCCCTTGGATTCATTCGCATTAGGATTTCTGATCGTATTCGCTTTGTGTGCTTGTGGCTTTATGATCTGCACTGTGCAATAACAAACTGTAGTCAACGCTTCGTATTGTCTTCTGAAATTTATATACTTTCAGGAGTTATCTAATGGTGGTTATCAGGAAAAGTGATGTACGAAGTATTAGGAATTATCCCAAAGATGTTCCACTACAGTTTATCCCATTCACATCAGTTGATGAAGATTTACTACTTCATCAATCGATCTGCCGTTATTACTTGGTACCGTATTCCTAACATCGGTGTTGCTTACTCAATGGCCCCAAAATATGCAAGCAATGCTTTGAAGACACCTATGATTAGACAATGGTTGGCAAAATTGTGAATATTCATCGATTTGTATGACTTGGATGTGGATTGCATGTGCCTAGCCACACAACCTTGCTCGACCCGTCCGGTTTGCTAGTGTAGGATTAGTTTTTATGAAAAATAGTTCTTAGGAGGGGAGGAGTCGCAGATCAAAACGCGGCACATGTTCCTGAAGTCATTCATTATTGATCTGGGTCATGTTATTAGACGCATACTACCTGGTTGAGGTCTGCGATGTTATTGTAACTAATGGTTGAAAGTATTGGACATATAGCTTAAATTAGTCCCAGTGTCACAGATGCATTCACTTTTTGTCTCACCTTAGATGCTGAGTTTTGAGGTCATTCCATATTTTCTATTTCACGAATTAGTTATTTCTTGAGTTTATCCATAATTCTTTTTATAATTACTAATACTGCTACTTTGGTATTAATCTCACTATGATGGTATGTAGTGTGCAACTTGAAATAATCTACATGTATGTCATCTCGAGTTAGATGGGAGACTGTGGATCATTGCTGTTAAAAAATCAACTTACAGTTGGCACATCACAAGTTTTGAACTCCATTCTATTCACTCCAGACAACTAAGTACAATCACTAACTATTACACAAATAATGTGCAACTCAATGCTAAGTACATTTAAATATGTATTAAAGAAAATGGATCATATTACTATTTGTTTCTAATTTAGCACGAAAAGAAGTTCCGGAATTGTAATCGTCAAACTTAAAAAACACATAAATTTTAAGCATTTCTATAATATACCACCGATGCAGTCGACTTTAGACTGTAAATTTTAACCAATAGGTAGTCAATAAGTCACTTGCTAATAGTGTAATTATCATTCTAAAATATTAATGGACGATAAACACCTTTTTGTTGACACATTTATTTCTATAAAATTTCATCATACATTCTTATCAAGTATGAGAAAATGTGGTATTGTTTTTCTATTGTACGTAGGATTTTTCTATCAGGATTATTTACTGTTTAACTCATTAGTTTACTGGATTAATTTCATTTATCATGAATACTAGTTGGAATATATTGTTCCGTTTGGTAACATCAATTTATATATACAGTTTAACACAAATGATAGGCTCATGATCATATTTCTAGGGTACCGCTTTTCAAAATGTGCATTTATTACTACCAATTTTCTCATTTTCAATTTAGTTTATTTGACTAATCATCTGTTAATCGCGTATGCTTTATAAAATGATTTCAAATCATCACGATTTTAATTATTGCGAAACAAAAATTACCACCACGTTGGTTGGCATACTTTTCTTTCTCCATTATCTTTTAGTGAAACCAGGCACGATTACAATAAAACACATGCACTAGATATATTCGACGAAGAAAAGAGATGCTATGGGAACAAGACTGATTATAAAGAGATGAATATCAATGGCAGCTAATATTTTTCACATACATTTTAGTATCTTCATAATTTAAATGCTTATAAAACAGGAATTTTGTTGCTACTTTGCATATTTCGTGCTGAAAATTCTTTACTGTAGCCAAACATATAATAATGAAGAAATCGAGTATTATTGTTATAATTTCATTGGCATCACGAACAGATCTAAGTTAGACAACCATTGAAAACCTGGGAGAGCTGGACGGCTGTTTCGTTCTAGTGTGAGACTCCTCAGCAGTGCGTACTCACGACCACGTGACCAGGGATCGAACCCAGGACCTTCGGTCTCGTGGAGTTCAGTGTCAGTCACTTAGTTACCCCACCGAACACAGTAGGAGATGGTCAGTTCATATTGCGATTTGATTGAACTCATACTTGTGCATCATTAGATGCTGGCCCACTGGTATGGAAGTTAAACGTTCTCATACAAAACCCACCATTCTACGTTGCGAGGTCGTGTTTGCACTTTTCTGAGGAATCTCATGCTAGGACTAAACGGCCGTCCAGTGCCTTCAGGTTTTCTTTGATCGTTTAACTTGAATCGGTTTATGATCTCGATAAATTTCAACAATTTTCACAAACGTATACTGATAATAATTACTGTTATTATTAATACTATGTAGTGTTAATATGCTCATTGTTTATTTATTCAATACCTATACAGGATTCTGACCAACAAGTATTAACAACGACTCAACGGTGTTCTCTAATCAATCCTACTAATTCAGTTTATGTCTGTGAGCATTCAACACCCACAGTGACGCGTTTATGTTCCTCTTCTTCTCCTAGTCATACTAATAATTTTATAACTAGTAGTAATAAACTATATCAACCTATCAGCAGATCGAATTTAGATAATGTGATCGGAATAAAACGCCACCACCACCAACAACAACCTCGTACATTGTCATCCATAACTCCTAGTGTTCTAAGCATTCAAAGCCTTCATAATAGCAGTAAGTTTTAAATAAATTGATTGTTTGTTTTCATGTTTTTTTTTCTCGTGTAAACAGTCACTTTACCGGTATGTAATGATCATAATAATACTACTACTAATAATAATAGCAATAATTGATGGCAAAATATCTCTTTATTTAAAAATCCTTTTGATTAGAGTAAGAATGACAACGATAACAGCAACAGTAAGTTTTGTAAAGCGAAAAATAATGAATTCACTTATTTACTTCAAAGCTTTTGATTTGATGTAAACAAAAGATAATGGTATAATGGGTCAATGGACATGATTGAACTGTAAGGGGATGGTTGGTGGTAGTCGACAGAAATCTCTAGGCCTAGGTTTCGCGCTAGTCGGGATTGATCAACAAGATGTACCCGCAATCTTAAGGGGACTAACGCTTACTGGAAAACTAGGCCCGGTGTCACCCGGCCGTTGATCAAACGTAATAGTTGTGATGGCTATTTTCAATGATGTTTAATAAACCTTAAACCTAAGGGTAATAAATTCTAAAATACTAGGTGGTTTTCTGCATAGACATTAAATAGGAATACTATATTTGTAAAATCTCAGCGAATGAATTTCTACATAGTTTGACATGTGGTTTCTTCTTGTTTGTTTTGTGTTCTCTCCCAAGCTACATCATCTCAACGTTTTCGTGCTCCACAATCACAGCCATCAGTTATTTCTACAAATGAAACACCGAGACAATTGTCATCTATTACACAAATTCAAAATCCTAAAATCTTAAAAGCTACCTTACCTGTTTGTAGTAATGTTGTTGGATCAACAACTTATGCATCAAATATGTTTTGTAGTTCAGTGATAAATATTACAGCAGATAATTTGCCGATCAACAGTAATATTGATCAGTTAAATCGTACTTCATTACTTCCACAAAATACATTTATCCCATCTAGTTCAGTCGTACAATTTCCATCGTCAATTTCCGGGAACAATGTTATTGTCTTGCATAAAGGTAGATTGTTTTTCTCTTATCAATGATAGTGTTATTTTTCATTCATAAAGTCTTTATTATTTCATCAAAAGTTCTTTTGTTTCAGTAAAATATGACTAACTAATTTGTTTTTCTTTTCAAGTTGATGGATGAAATATTTTTTCTCGTGTTAATGAATTTCTGTACAAATTTTTAGAAGGATTTTCTATTGTATGAAATAAATCATTGTTTATAGTAGTGTTATTCGAATAAACAGTTGGAAGTGTCCGGTAAAATGTAATAGCTTAAATGTAACTGAAAACCTTTTTCACTAATATTCAGGAACTGCTTCGTTGTTACCCTAGATTGAGTAAGAAGGGATTGGTAAGGCGTTAAAAAGTCATCTATCCATCTCAGTCATTGAATGTTTAACTGAACGTTATCGAAATGTACAATTGTTTTGGCTGATGTTCGAAAGATGGTAACTTTGATGTACATTAGTCACTGAGTGGCAACGAATTTTACGTTTATCTAATCCTTTATTGCTGATTTAATTCTATCAGTTTAGTTGTAACATGGCCACTAGTTGAAGTGTTTTGACATCACGTCCACTGTATTGAGTTTTTAAGTGATTAGAGATAATTGGCGGAAAGTTATGCAAATCTAGGTCTTTTTCTAGTTAGGAATCGTCCTCAAGGGATAGCTGTAATCTTAAGGGGACTTATTCCTTACTATTGGATTCGAACTTGGGTTACCCATCTTCACAGTTTAACACGTTACTGCTAAGCTATCCGGGCCGCTGACGAGTGTTACTTAGCATTAAACCGTGGTCCAGGGTTTCCTGACAACTACCTGATATCTTCGTTTTGAGATTTAGGTATCGTTGAGTTTTATAGGAGTGCTTTTTGCTTCTCGTTAAAATTTCACTATATTGATCATCGACCAATGATTTTTTGGCATATTCTATTCAGGTGTTGCACGTAAAACATTCACACCTACTCCGTCTATACGAATTGGATCAACTGTACCGGTCAATAATAATACGCAAGCAGTTGTATCTGGTAGTTATTCAAACGCTTCCGTTGCATTCCCAAGTCGCCAGTTTCGAATTATTGGTTTATCAAATACACCTGTATGCTCTAATTCTAGTACCGTCGAAACTTCAATTTACAATTCGGAACCTAGTCAAGTAATTCGCAATATCAATGAATTAGTAGTATGTTCATGAACTTGTAATTTTATGCTTTAGTTTTCAAAAATGGGTTTTTTATTATCGTTAATTCATTATTATCTCGTTGTTGGAGAGAGGGCATATCAGCTTTTGCCTTGTGTGTATACACTTTTACAATGGTTTATAAACCCATATAGCATAATTAGTAATATGCATGATCTGTAGAATAAATACCTGGATTGAGCCATTTAATGTGTTTAGTTATGGACATGTAGACACATAGAGTCTGTATGACCTTAATAGCCAGTTTTTATTAACCTATTAATTTATAGTAAATTGTTATTGCATCACAACAATGCATCTACACATTCTACTGTGATTGTCTGTGAATTTCCGTTTGCGGCTTCGTGGGATATTCCGCTTATAAGCACTAGGTTTCTACAGGCTTCCCACAACTCGCTGAAGCACGTCGGTCCACTCTGAGTAAACAAAGATTGTCACTTAATGAAATCATGTAAAGTTTGTGTAAGGACTAGTGATCGGAGCATGCTAAAGAGTCGGAAGCACCAGCTGCATATGGTAACTACCGGAAGTCCTTTCAATCCATCTGAGTCACTGGCAGCACGAAGTCTGGCGTGAGTAAAACAATTTGTGAAACTGATGGGATGCTAACCAATAACACCTGTCGACATCTTGGACGATGGGTAAAGTTCTTCAAGTAACAATTATAGTGGTCTACCTCTTCAGCGAAATCGATCGGACTGTCATCAGTGGCTAGTGATGACTGATCCACCTAACGGGTGAAACTCTTCAAGAAACTTTAACTTTGGAAGCTCTGTAGGTCACGACACCCTGATGACTTACTTCCAGGCCTCTTTAAAGATGGTAGCGACTTTCTGGTTAAGGAATTGACTGAATTGTTTACAAAATTTAGCGATTCAGAGTTTTCCATCATCGTGAAATGAGTATTGTATACATATGTATGAGCTGTATGCTTGTTCGTTCGTTCTTCCGGGCTGCTTGTGGAATATATATATTTTCACGGCCGAACCTGGTCTTTTTCCTCTAGTTAGCAGGGCTGGGGCTCAGTGAAATAGCTTAGCTTGTCCTGTTGTTGTGTTGCTGGCTTTCGTCCCATTCACCGGTTCTAGCTGATATCATAATCCCTCGCACATTGCAGCTGATAGTTGTTCCTATCTTTAAAAAGCGTTCACGTCATATATGCAACAACTATCTGGTGATAAATCTACTTCCGATTGCGTCCAAAATATTTACTTCCGTCATACTTCGTAGATGGTTCAAAACACAGGAAAGATTAACTCGAGAGGAACTGGCTTGTTTTCGTTTTGATCGAGGATGTATTGATCATATCTTCATCTGTCTAATGTTAAAACACCGTCATTCTTATCACAGACCAACAATCATAGTGTTTCTACTCATTGGGATATAACAGAAAATATATTAATCGTAGTGTTTCTTGACATTAGGACCGCCTTCGACTCATTGGACGGGACTGTTCTCTGGGATTATTTATAGAAGAAAAGTGTGCCTTAGAAGCTTATTGACATCTCAAAAGCCGTATATACAAACACCTGAAACAGTGAGGGTATACAGCCATCTCTCTCCCTTGTTCTACTGAAGCAATGGGATTAGATAAGGTTGCCCAATCTCACTATTCCTCTCCATTTTACCGTCAATGACGTTCTGGAAATAACTCTAATGGATGTAGGTAATGGTGGTGTAAATATGCTGCCTGGAGAAAGACTTTTCGACCTTGTGTAGTATGCAGTTGATATTGTATTAATTTACGATGATACCCAAGCCATGCAATCCTCACTTAATCAGTTGGCAAACAGTGTCTGTAGGTGTAGCATATGCCTTGCATCTTTCAAGTGCAAAGTACTTTTACAAGACTGACAGGAACCTGCAAATGCACTCGCTCTTGGTAATGAGCAGATATAAGTCGAGAAGTTCGTATATCTGGATAGCTGCCTAAGTGCTGGTAGTGGCGTGAGTGGTGAGATCGATTGACGTATAGTGAGAGCCACAGTGGCTCATGATTATCTGGGCAATACTTGACACCTTTGTGGTGTTAGTCTGACTGTAAAAGGTCAGGTCTACAACGCATCACTGCGAGCAGTTTCGCTCTATGATTGATGAACCTGGCCTCTTCGAGTTGAGGATGTTGGAAGACTCTATGCGTTTGATTAACGTTGTCTCCGAAGGATTGCTGACATCCAGTGGCAACATTATTCTAGCAATGAAAAATGTTTAGCATCATGTGTTCGAACACAGCGACAGCAATTCAGCTGGTGTCAATATCTTGAAACATCGACGTCGGTGACTTGAACATGTCTTACGAAAGTCGTCCCAGAGAATTCCACTTCGTGCATTATTTGCCGACTCTGAGACTGGTTGGGAAAAGTGGAAAGGCGGTCAGTGTATGCCATGATATCTTGGTATGAAAGAGAGCTGTACAGAACTGGCATCTGTCGATCCGTGGTGGGAGTCCTAGAGATGATGCAATTCAGTGACTTAAGACGTTATCAAACATGGTTCAGAATGGAAGTCAGTGGCGATCCTGCTGTAATTTTTCAAATTTCTTCAAAAAGTGAGAGTAACTTCTGTAACTGAAAGAGTACTTCTTGGTTGTATTTTTCCTAACTGAACTGCTTCTCCCACTGTTATTATTATTATTATTATTATTTCACTCATATACCAATTTATATTCATTGTTGTTCTTTTGAATTATACTCACCCTCTATTCTCTATCTGTTTACAACCTCATTTTTATTGTGGGCGCATATTATGGTGCTTACTTGTACCAATGTTTGTTCGCTAATAATAATAATAGTAATAGTAATATAGACCACTCACTTCTAGTCTTCCTACATTTATAATGTATCTGATCAGTGATTTCATTTTATGTTGTGAAAATTTACTGGAGTTTCAATCAACTGATGTATTCTGACATGTTTTGTTGTTTTATTGTTGAAAAACACACTGGTGACCTATTTGTGTAAAACCAATTGCAAGTTTGTCACTAAGGTACTTTGGTCTTATCCGTTGTATAAATATCAGTCATTAAATATATTTCAATAGTCAGTTCTTAATTACTTACGTGCTGTGGGCAATTGCATCATGATATTCAAAACCTTATCGTACACTGTCCTTATAGTAAGCGATTAACTGAACTCACTGGATTGAAACCTGTTTATCAGTAATGTCTATTTCAAATAGATTCATTCGTTTATATTGTGTAACTCATTCTATAAAGTTTTTAACTTCCAAGATATTGATATCCTATCCATAGTCATACATTTATGTATAGTGTGAATAGACTTCATTCTAGTTGTTTCAGCTAGTTTCAATGTATGTGTAATCACATTAAATTGATGAGTTTGATGTAAAAGTGTAATTGGATTTGATCGAATTAAATACTAATTGCATTCTTATTTGTGTTATCCAATTAATTTGGAAAAAATCGTATTTATCCTTACATTGGACGACTTAATTGTTGTTAGAAAAAAATGGTACTGGATAAACATATTAGTTAATTAAATGTATACTGTACTGGATATTATGTCATAAAAGTGTTACGTTTCTTTTAGGGTTTTTTGTAAAATTTATTACTAATGGTTACCGACAAATATGTTATATCTTGATCATCAAATTTTTGTGAAAAATGTCTTTGGATGGTGGATCAATGGGTGCACTGATTTGTTACACTCACATTCCTCTTTTCGGTATTATTACTTGCGTTCATATAAACAACTGTGACTCAAAGCTGAGTACATGTAAACGTGCTTTTGTCAAATATGTTACATTATTATTTGTTTCTGGTGAAGCGTAGAAAGTATTTAATACAAGCATGTGTATGTTATTTGCTATAGTAAATAACATGGTATAAAACTTGTTATTTGTAAGAGTGGTGGTATGGAAGTATTCATTGTAAAGTTATTTAACATCATGAATTGGATTCAACTAATCAAAGATCGCAAACCAGAGATCAGTGGATAGCTATCTTGTCTTAGTATGTAACTCTTCAGTGGTAAGTAGCCGTGCCTCATTGCTGAAAACCCAACCCAGTACGTCCAGATTTCACGGCGAACACGTTACTTTTAGACCAATGAGTTACCGACCGTTGTAGTGATGGGTTAATGGTTAAGGCGTTTGACCATCAGTTACTGAGTAGCAGGTTCGAACTCCACCGTACTTGGTTTGGTTTGGGAAACCGAGTAGTCGTATCATTTGCCCTTAGACATATTGTCATCATCCGTACATAAAACTATCCCTAATGAATAAGTTAATTCGTCCGTTGATCCACGTTTCCAACTTTAGTTAATTGGAGTTGTTCCGTTTCATTGCTTACATAGTTGAACTATATGGGACATTCACAATAAAGGTATATATTTTTAAGTTACACTAATATCGTTCTCTGTTGATTATAACATTTAAAATATCTTGTTATCTTACGATTTTTATCTTTTCTTTTTTAATCTTTCCGTTAGTCAATTCAAAATACTCCCACAATGATGACGACAACAAATGTTATTTCTACATCATCAGCTAATCATTTACTGCATCATACTTCACGTTTAGGATCAATTCTAGAAGTTGATCTTGACTCGGATAATTATAATGATCAAGCCAATTATTATACTGATTATCATAACGCCACTATACATAGTAATAAATCGACTTCTCATTGTTCTACTATTGTTACAATTCCACAAGCGTCTTTATCAATAGACGTATCGAAGTTAACACCTATTCATCATAACAAACCAACAGTGTTAACCGATGAATCGTCTGTTGTCAATTTACTCCGTACTACAACTAGTACTACTGATAGTATTCATGATTTACACAATACTTCTTCTGGGTTATATACTATAATCAATGAACAATCATTAAATAATAATCAATTGCCGATATATTCTGAGGTAAATATCTTTTCCTTTCTTTTGTTGCTTCACTTTTCTCTAGAGTTCTTGTGCTAAGATAATTTTCTTAAATTCTATTCATTATCAATAATAGCCAAAATAGTGATGAATATACTATTAACAAGTACATGTTTTTTTTAATGTTTTCATCAACATAGACTGTGAATGGTTGTCCTGAAATCCCAGTATATTACACGTTATTTATTGTTACACTTGATTTACTTCGAAAAACTGTTTTCTTCAATGTTTTGTCTCCATTAAACAACTCATTGTTTAATGGATTTCCTTAGAGTTCTTATATTGTTACATAAAATTTTCATCTATAGTTCAATCCATGTATTTATTAGCTGATGAAAATAAGCGTTAAAATCCTAAAATTCAAAAGAACGCGAAATTATCTTTGCTTCCTCTAATCATAGTTACTTCATCATTTTTAACTTTAGTAAATGGATTGTCTTACATTCTCTCATATTCTCAACAAAGCACATTCATATATATAAGTCCTTTTCATTTTCAGTAGTAATTAAGATCATAATTAAAACAGATATTTTCTAAGGTTATAAAATGGATCTTTTTTATTTATTCAGCTATTTCTTCACTCTTCTAATAATAGCAACTGAGAGATATTTGTGTTTACTCATACGTCTATTCAAAATCATACCTTTAAACATGGATTCTTATATTAACGAATAAACTCATAAGAATAGCTCCTCTGTAAACTAATGGATCAATGAATATTCCGTCATTCTAAGTAAACTGTTTATCAATTCACCAACTTATTGCTTGTACAACCTATTCAATGAGTGATTTTTAGATTATGAAGATAAGTTTTCAAACCCTTTTATGGGATATAATAAACGTTTTAGATCATACATCTAATTTTAGAAACCAGTCTCATAGACGCCGTCCCAGACAATCTTTACGATTATATATATATACTACTTATACTTTGTAAGTAATTAATGTCATGTAGTGCTTCAGCATTTATACATTACATTGAGACCAAATTTATTTTTTAGAAACCAGTCAGAAGGAAACAGCATGTATTTTGATGAGATAGGATTTGTTATCGTTGTGATATCTTGTGTTATTTTAGATCACTGTTGTAATGACAAGCTGAGTTAGTTCTCAATTTTTAATCAGCTGCTTCTATTATCCTTATAGATAGTAGTCGTTAACATAAAGACATTCTTCTAGCTTCCAATAGATCGACAAACCACCAATAACAATGGAATATTCTCAGAAATCTGGAGGACTGTCACCGGAAGTATGAGAACGGATTTTAATGTTTTAATTCCATCAGGGAGCATCGTTCTTATCTGTTCCAATTACCGGGACCAAAATATGCAGGGGATTATCGTCCTCTGTGTCTGCCCTGGGATAATCATTAGAAGGGGAGTGTTGGTAATGTGCGAGGCACATGCTAAAAGACACATATGGACCCGATATAAAATTCAACTGCTCGTTCAATGCATCGACGAGAATTCTTGCTACATACAATTACTCGTGGACACACTTCTCTATATCTTGGAAATGAAGATAAACAATCCAAAAACCAAACAAGAAATCACGCCCGCGCGGGTTCCATGAAAGCCTGTGCAGCTCCGTCTACCAAAACACGCGTATGATTAGTTTGAAGAAATGAGATATTTGGGAATGTATTATTTCTCAAAAATTCAACCCAAATCAGTCAGAAAGTGGATTAAAAAAATCCAGTTTCTAAGTTTTTAAACCTCAGTTTTGCAATTTGATTCAACTCTATGTAACTTGCATTGTGAATGACTGTTTCTTAAAAGACTCCTAAAAATCCCTTGCAAACTCACGGGTTTTCCAATGTTTCTTTGGTTGGTTGGAGTTTTCTGTAGAAGGTCTGCTTATTTTGCCTTTTCTATAGTTGACAGTTGGGTCAACATTCGTTTTGGGTAAGGTCTAGTCCAAGTGCAGTTGAGGATTATTCTACTTCGCGCTCACTATTGCTTTGTTTTTTAAATTATCTGTCTTGAACCAAGTTATAACAGCAACTGCATAAAGAATACCTGAATTTCACTTTTAATCAATTAACTTGATAACTGGCACAAGAATAGGCTATCTAAAATAATGTATATGGTAAATGCATTATACATGTATATAGCAGATGGCCCTCAAGTGCCCTGGTACTGCCGAGAGTGGGGAGAGTCTACTCTCACTATCGAAATGCTCTCACATGACCACGCGTATATATCCTCTGACAGGAAAGTCCTACTCACTGCCTTCTAGTGGCATTACTGTTGTTCACGAAAATCGAATGTCCGGCGCTGTAACCGAGTTGGTGGACACGGAAAGTCCACCTAGTGGAGTTGGAAAACCCTGATTCCAAACTAATGGTGCAAATGTACTCCAGTTTCCTGAGGGAACAAATGGTGTATGAATCAATCATTGATCACCGGCTACCATGGGACTGCATCTCCTTACGATGCTCCACTGCCTTGTGGGTCAGATGTTTAGGCCAAAGACTCGGGGTGTGGTCTTCTAAGAAAACCTTATGCTTCAGTTTGGACACCTGGGTAGTATCACAGCCCTCACACAATTCGAATGAGATTTGTGCGGCGCATATATATATATATATATATATATATATATATATATATATATATATATATATATATATATATAGTGCTTCCTTGTACCAATATTTATGTGTTTAAATAAATAAATATGTGGTAAATGATTCTAAATATATATGATATAAGAGTTCATTTCCTAACAAGTGATTTTGTATGGTCAATTTTAGCTAAAGTTAAGGGTAGTCTACCGAGGAAAGTGGAACAGGAAGTTATTTGTGACATCAAATGTTATGAATGCAACACAGTGTATGTGTAAGAAACATCCAGACGGCTAAATTTAAGTTTAAATAACCAATAACAATGTTTGAAACATATTCCTTAATCCTCGGTTGATCTTAAGAAACTTGAGAATGAATCTATAATAACGCTACATTCGTTAGAAAAAGCCCACAAGATCAACCTTAAAGGGTCTGAAATACTTCAGGAAAGGTTTGTTGTGCACAAAAAATAATTAACATCAGTAGCGTTGTATGTTTGGACCAATCAGAATAGTTTGAATAAAGAAGACTGAATTCAACTAACCACAACTTAGCAACAATTCATTAACAATCAATATGATCCTTATCTCTATCCACCCTGTTTATATTACATGTAATTTTATTTCGATAAGAACTAATTTTTTAACATCATAACTATATATTTGATGCTTCTTGTTTTCTAGAAACGTTTTATAGTGTTTGAAAATACTTTTCAATTTGTAACTATTAGTTTTTGTTTTTATTCTTTTAACTAAACAAAATCATCACAATATCTTTGTTATAATAAACAATGACTGTATTTATTTATTCAGTAAAATTTAATTATTCATAACATCAAGATGCCATTACACAGATTTATTGTTTTTATATCTTGTAAATTATTCACAATATTCAACATTCTACTGTATCTGCCTCTCTCTCCCTCATATATTTTCCCTAGCTTTATAGAACTAATGACTAAATAAAATTTGACAAGTTTAGATTTATTCATTCAACATTTATCTAAATTTCGTTCTTGATGTATTATTTCTCCTGAATACGCTCAATGAAGAGATATTATGGTATGTGGTACTGATGTCAACAGATATAAGTAGTATGTATCACCAATAGGAAGTGGAATGCCTGGGGCCAGACGGTTAAGAAGATCGAAGAGAAGAGGATGAGAACAGAGAGTGATTGTTATTAAAACGAAGGGACAGTCAAATCTGAGACAATTGATTGACATTTTGCAAATGAAGTATTTACTGTATGGTTCTCAGATTTCACTAAGAGATTCTGTAATTTTGTATTCAAATACATTCGATTATTTCCACCTGTGTTCTCCTTCACTTCAATATTACTGAATCATTTAGATTTGGTTCAAATAAAACATTTTACATGGATATTGATCTTGGTGACTAATTTCTGTCAAACTATTTATCTAGATATTAATGAATATTCATCTAAATGATAGTTTATTGTCAGTGAAGAAATACAAGTTAGTAACTTTAATTTGTCGTTTTTTCTTCATCACCACAATTCTATTGGTCTACGGTTAGATTGTCTAGTCACTTGCTTATTTGTTTTTATTTACTTCATATCGTCATTATTTTTATTTTTATTGTGGTCTTTGTTCTAGGGTGGTAATGTTATATATCAACGAGAACAATTGAAAACAGCGGGAGCAGCTGCTATGTCCACCGCTACAATTGATTCATCACAGAAGTGTATTGAATTAACCTCTTGGAATAATAATACCCTTGGTAGCAGTTGTTTTAGTGCTACTACTACTACTACTAGCAGTGGTAGTAAAACCATTGGTCGTCTCCAGGGTAATCCTACCTCTTCGAATGTTGTACTATTCAATAATCCACCAAACGCTAAACGTCCGCGTTTTGAATTATCATCATCAACATCATCCACAGCGTCAATTGAAAGTTCACACTGATAAATATATTGTTAATTGTGGATAATATGCCATCATCATCTTCATCGTCATTTACCCTAGGACCAATCATAATTTACACAGATTGCATTCTTTTAAACTTTTATCCCACCTTTCTGATATATTTTCTTTAGAGTTTGGTTGTATATTTCTGAATAATCTTCCTTTAATCTTCTCCGTATCTTTTCATATATATCCCTTTAAAGACAATCAGAACCTAATTGAGTGGATAACTAGCTACCATGTATTTATGTGTTTAAGATATACAAGTTCTACTATCAGCTTCTCCTGATTTTCACGCGTATGTATTTGTATATACATATGTCTGAGTGTTTGCTCACACTTTTACCAAACAGTCACTTACTCTATTATTTAATCATTATTATTTTCTGATAGAAAGTACATCTATAGTTTATATGCTCCATTATTATATAGAAATTATCTTTGCTCCACTCGTCTATCTTCAGTACATATATATATATATCTTTAATACTGTCTTGTATTATACATAATGAAATATTTACTAATGTCTGTATTGTATGCACACATTTTGTCTGTTTGTTTTGATGATGATGCGATTGTTTGTTTATTTAATTTCTACTTTAACATGAATATACATTTTCTTCTTCATCTTCATCAACTGGTAATTCCACATATGCTGAAATTCAACCAGCAGTGTTTTCTTCTCTCAACATAGTAGCTGTTAGTTTTCGATTATTTTCTTCTTCCTTATAACCTCTCTAATTTTCTCCTTTTCTTCTTGTTGCTGAAAATGACCTACTATTCTACAGACACTCAAACGTTTACGATAAGATCTGTTATTTTGTAAGATTTATTCATGTCATATACAACATACTTTATTGCTTCAGTTCACTGTGTGTATTTTGTGTACATAAGCCTCTTTCAAATTCATCTATTTCGTCAATGAATTATTTCATTTATTAATAGTATTACTCTCATATTGTGGAATTTACCACCTAGATATATACCCGTTTATATATATATATATATATATATATATATATATACTGTTGTTTTTACATAAATGATGTTCATGTTTCTCTACTGTTCACCAGTTAATTCCTCATTTTATTGTTTGTCTTTTATATATGTTGTAATTGTATGCGTGTTTGCAGGTTCGTTATCCAGAAATGAGTAGTACGTTGCAGTGTTACTAGTAGATTTTCACATCCTCTTATACTTATTACAATTATTATTACTATTGTTATTATACTGTTTTTTTATATTTAGTAATATCTACTGAAATAATGCTGTATTTTAGGGGTGTTGGTGTATTGTTTAACTAAGATGAAATAGAAAACCTACTTTTTACATTATAATTATTATCATAGTTCGAGAATATTATAATTTCGTCAGAGGACTTTTTTGCCCCATTTATCTATTCCACATTTCTATTATTGGTTGCCACACGAAATTATATGTGTGTGAAGTAGACTGTTTTGGATTCTTTATTCAAGGTAATGTGTTTTTGTTTCACTATAATCACTGGGTTAATTTATTTGTGTATAAGTTTTCTTCCTCTTCTCCGCATCGCTTGCATCCTTGTGTCTTACACACACATCCACACTACTGCTCATCAAAGACGTGGTGTTGACTCATGTTTCTCATTTGATGAATACTCCAATACATATGGATTGTGGTTAAAAAGAACTTGTTGGTGTCAGTCAGAAAGATACTTTTTCGAAAACATCTATCATTAATAACATATCGAGGTGTTTTGTTTTGCGTATTACAAGTTTTTAAGTTACATTTTTGTAATGTTTGTCAGTTCGTCTTTTTGTATGTATGTATGTATTCGAAATTGCATGTTATCATCTAACTGTAAATACATTTTTCTTGTTGCCTTTTTATATATAAATAACAAATAAAGTTTATTTATTTCTTTTGGTAAAAAATTATTGTTCTTAATTAGTAATCCTGCGTATATGTTGACAGTATATGTGTATGATATATGTTTGCATATGTATAAATATTCTCGAATATATATATATATATATATATATATATATTGTATACTTGTTCAGAGGGATAGGGTTTTTTTTACGGTTGTTACTACTTACATCGGTTTAAGTGTTCAACTTGGAGATATTCATATTAGACAATTGTGCATAATTCCAACCTCTTGACATGAAAGCAATAATAAAAAGTACACTAATAAGTGCAGCGTTAGCCTACTAAATGAACGGAAAATTAACCGAAGTTTTTGGGTACGGCATATTTAGTAAACATTGAAGACCTTAGGGTTCTTAACGTTCACTTCGAGATGAATATGTGAACCATGGAAGAAAATGGATAATTAAAAATATACTTGAAGTAGGTAATTTCCTAATGACACTTTCTATGAGTAGATTTGGGAGCTGTCTGGCTGTTTGGCATAAAAAATATATTTTATCGCATTAATTTTAGTTGCCCACCTCTAACACTTGTTCCTTGTTCAGGTATGTGAATGATGAAAATGTAATAAATACAAAGTAGAGAATGCACTAAGCACTTAAATGTATTTAGAAGTAGATAAATTGACTCAAGGACTTGTTAGCTTGGTTATACTTCCTTTAGACTTACTACGTCAGGCTTACTTAACAAGAAAGAAATTAGCAAAGCTTTCTAAAGTAAATAACAAGACAATAAAATTCAATGTATTGTCTATTGAGTGAAATAGTCACTTTCGAATAATATTTAGGGCAAATGTAGTATTCACCAAATAATTGAAACAGCTAAACCACTTATTTTAAGTGTTTTAGGTGACTCGAATTGATGTATTCATTGTGGGAATATCATTCGTTCTGTAGATATGAATGTACATCCATCCGACGTGTCCGTAAGTATAATTATAAACTAATGTCTTAGATTGTACTAACGAAAATACCATTAAGATATAATCGCATTTGAAGTTATTTAATAGATAATTCCAGTAGAAATATTCTTGTCCATGAATAATCATTGTCCTAGAAGTAACTAGTGGTTTTATTTTTAAATAAGTACTGATTTGCAGTTCAGTCATGCATAACCGAAGTAACTTATTAGTCGATTGATGAGGCTTTGAGTCTTTATTGATGTGGTTTAGATATGTGTCAAGTATGACTAACCACCGTCTACCTCGACAGATGCTAGCTGGTGTAGAAGGTTAAAAGAAAGCTGGGTGAAAGCAAACCAAGGCGTATAGTCGGTCAGAGAACTTCCTCACTGCTGATCTGTGACCTTGATAAATACAGACTACCTGAAAGTGGTCCTCGTGGTTATTGCAACCAGTAGCTTGTGACGTTGAGGAGTGTGGTTCAGAGTTCCTAAGTTTCAGTATTCCTTCATCATACATTTCCATCTTTTTTTGGAATAATATTCTCATCAGGACAGATAAAGGCAGATCCAACTGAAGCCTCTTAAACAAGATGAAGCATGAATTCTAGCTTCAATTACTAACTGACTCGGTATATAAATGTTTGTGATTCGAGCATCGCTCCATCTTTACTTCAATTTTAACAATCTAATAGTCCTTTTCATCAGAACACAAGATCAATCTTCACTACTTGTGTACGTTAAATTATTCAGCATGAAATCGTGCAAATGTTTTTAAAGTTCATGACCAGTGGTAATAAGATGATAGATTCTGGAATATTTTGAGGTTATGATTGAATGTGAATGGAATGATAGAGAGAAGGATTTTCAAGATGATTATTATCAAACAGTAGTAAAAACTAAAACTACTTAAATTGATAATGATAATAGATTTTATGCTACCGTTTGTTCTGTGAAGTAGTCACGTTCACTTGGTAGTGGAATAATAAACATTTCACTATGATCTCATTCAGTAGTGTGATATAATTCTAAAGATAAGGTTGCTCTGACGATCTTTTTCTCGTTTTTTTTTAAAATAAATATTTTAAGATAAATTGAGGTGAAATTCTTTACTCTAAATGATAAGAAATATCCGTTGATAATTAAGAAAATTGTTATCATAAGAGGATGTGAATTTAATCCAGTGACTTCTGATGTAGACCATGGTGTTAATAATAATAGTCACCTTATTCAGTAACACACGCTTGATTACTTTGCCTAAGTCTACGAATGGATTCTGTAATATTTTAGCGAATCGTATTTATTCGTTTGACTTTTGAATATTAAACAAAAAACGTTTTTCAAGAATAATAAAACTGTCACTTTTTATTTATTTGTTGGTGTTTTCAATCATTTTTGCTCCCATGAAATGGTTTTAATCCTAATATATATACTATGAGCTTTATTTCTTTATAGGATATATGAAGAGAAAAATACACTAACCAATGTGGCAGCCTTCGAATTTAGTAGCAATCAATTTCATGCCATAGGTTGTAAACTTTTCATAAAAGCCCATGAATATGATTACCGTACGTAGTTAAGTAGTTGATAGAAATGCAGGCAAAATTCTTTAGAATAGTTTTACACCGTTGAAAAAAATATGTATCCTGGCAATTAGGAGAGAATCTTATTGAAGCGTAGATTGTTTCTTTACATCTATCCGATAAATAAAGTAAAAATGAATGGCTGATGACTGAGTGGAATTGTTGTTTTTGTAAAGTACGGATTATTGTCTCTTTATCTTTTTCCGTATTTGCATTTATTCGGATTTGACTGTGTTTTATTCTTAATATTGTTATGTATCAATACTTCATTTCAATCATGAACCGACCTGGAAGCACTGGACAGTCGTTTTGTCCTAGTATGGGACTCCTCAAGATTTCAATCATTTCAATGAAATTCAGCGATCTCCACAACGTCGTACTGAAAATTGTCATGTGCTCACTGGTGACTAGCTTCGAAAGGTAATTCTCAGAGTTCTAGTGAGAAGCCGTATAGGCGCAGTTCAACCGTGTGGGGTAGTCAGTTACTCACCAAAGACAATGGAGGATGACGGGGAAACACCATGGATTAGTTGAAGTTAGACATTAACAACGTTGGATCCCGGCTCAGTGGTCTAGAGGTTAGGCGTTACCTCGCGAGACCTAGAGTCCTGGGTTCAAGTCCTGTGTGTGGGACTATGGATGCTCACTACTAAGTCCTATGGACGAAACGGCTGTCCAGTGCTTTCAGGTTTTCAACGGTTGTTTAAAATTGATCGGCTCATGGTTTCAATGAAATTTAATAATTTCCAAAACTCCATACTGAAAAACTTCAGTATTTGTTCTTGAGATTTGTTCATATTAAGCTATAGATTATAGGTAATGGAGTGCAGGATGCACTTTTCGCCCTACTTAAGACCCGTTGATCGAGTGTATGTGTTATTTCCCAGAGCCGATGTGCACATTTAATCTTGTACCCAGTACTCCTCACTTGAAAGATCATTACATTATCCAGTTGTTTAACGGGTTTTGACGTTCATGTCATTATCAGTAAGAGTTTGAATGATCGTTTTGTTTATATTCGAGATTGAATTCAGGACAGAATGCTTTTTGTAGATTTAACTAATGGCCACAGTTTACATGTTTTAAAAAGCTTGTAACAAAATGACAATGTCAAAATAGTCTACTAAAGATGCATAAATGATAAAACAAAAGCTGATCCGAATTCAGTCCTGAATGTCAACTACCAAATATTTCAAATCCTTTCTAGTACTGAGATTATGTACATTACGTTCTCTCTTTCCGTAAATATACCTGTTTCCACCGTGTTTTTGTTTTCAAATCATGAATATTAACGTCAATGAAAAAAAAACTATCAGCAAGTTAACAAACCAACTATACACATTCATACTCTTTATCTAGATGTTCACAAGAAATCTTGATGTTTTTTTTTTATTCTAGACTATTTGTGTATCATTTGTAAATAATTTTTGAGTTTGTTCACATACATTCTTGTTTTGTTTACTTTCTACATGCACATCTATACATAAATACAATCATCTTTTCTTTTTTTTAAAAAAAAACCTTATATTATAGGAGAACAATCAATTGGATATTGTTTATCAATTATCTCAAGAAATTCAATCTTCAGCTGTTAGTTTACTACGTACTGATTTAATTAAATGTATCCCTTCTGATGATAATGGTTTGAATAATATCCCATCACTGTTTTCAAATGATCAACTTACTAGTCTATTAGAATATCTACGTTCACTTAGACAATGGGCAGTAACTATTCCAGATTTACTCAGGAATAATAATAATAATAATTCTATTGAGAATATTAATAATTGTCGAAAAGATGTATATAATTCAATGAAAAATCTTTTAGATTCATTATTTTTATGTTTATTTAAAGAGGATAAAATTGTATCATTCTGGTGTTTTATTCCTATTCTTATTCAATCAAATATTATTCTATGTTTATCAATATGTATACAAGTAATAATTAATTTATTAAGTGAATCAATACAATCTATTAAATTATTTGATATTTATTCATTATTTATTATATTAATATCTAATTATCGTTTATTAATTTGTTTAACAAATTATGGTTTAACATTATGGGGTTATAATAATTATCATCAAATAAATCATAATCGTTTATCAAGTCATTATGCTTATTTATTATATTTATTATTATTACGTAATCAACAAAATGATAAAATGCTTAAATTTATTCTTCAAAATTTATATGATAAATGTTTAAATGATAAATATATTTTATATTATATCATAGAACAATCATGTCAAATAATTAAACCGATTGATAATTATTCAATAAAAATAGATCATTATCAATTATTATTAATACAATTAGCTACAAGTTTAAATAAATTTAATATACCATTATCATTGAATGGAATGATTGCTGATACTGACATTGATATTAATTTTATTCATTTAATAATTGATATTACTGGATTAGCATTATTATTATTAAGTCAAGATATAACAACTAATCAATTGGAACAATCAACTAAATCACAAAGAATTTTACCTACTAGTATAAAATCATGTTTAGGTTATTGGATGTCATATCTAACAATGTTTTATTCTTCTTCTTCTTCTTCTTCTCGCCTAATGAATGATATAATGAAAATATTGTTGAATGAATGCTCTAGATTATGTTCATTATGGATTAAAGAATTAATTGTTTGTTCTCCAGAAGAGGATGTAACTATTCAGGCTAATAATAATACAGTTTGTCTGCTGGTAAATTAAATCAATATATTATGTGTAAAATTATTTAGTTAATTACACAGTTTATAACACTAAGTGACTTTAGGTAAGCAGCTATTAGAGACTAGAAGGTATTAAATAGCCATTTCGTTCTAGTATAGGACTCTTCAACTGGGTTTTATGCATCAACAAACCCACTAGTAATAGGATCCAGGTAATTCTCGGAATTCTAGTGAATAGCTGTGATCAGTGAAGTTTTGTCATAACTGGTATGAAGTACTTACCAGTGAGATTGTAAGATGGCTGTGCGATATCATAAATTGATTGAGTTTAGAAATATGAATCATTGGACTCTTATTCAGTGGTCTTAAAGTTAAGCGCTCACCACAAGATCCAACGTTTTCGATTTCTTCTGGGGTGTTGGATGTACACTGTTGAGAAGTCCTGTACTATGACAAAATAGCTGTCAAGTATTTTCTGGTTTTCACCAGTTGTCTAAGGTCTATTTTTGATACAAACTACAAAATTCAACACTTCACACACCCCTCATACTAGCAGTATGTCGGTTAACCTTGTTACTACTGTATTTACCATGGGAACGTTAGAATTTGAAAATTTCGAGGTTCCAAACACCACTAATCAGAACTTTATAAATTCACTTATATGTAGTTGTATATATCTTAGTGTATGTAAACCAGAAGTGGACGAACGTATTTTATGAACTCAACAACTACGTTGATAACTAGATGCGCTCATTTATATAGATTTTTCTGCCACATAATGTTTAATCAATGAATATTGTAGATAATTTAAAATAAAGGGATGATGAAATAAATGTTTCATTGAATTGATAACATATCATTATAATTGATTGGGAGTAGTATTTTAAAGAGGATAAAATTTTAGTACCGTAGTTTCTTATAAAGTTTTTATTACTTTAGTTCGCATATTTACTGGACATTGTACTAGTACAATTGACCTATACAGTTTCAATGTTTTTATATTTCTCATTTTTGTATTCACAGCATGTAAACTATCCTTATGCTCGATTACGTGGTTTAGTTCATATACTGGCTAGTATCACTTTTTCGAATTTGGATAATAGTAGTGACAGTAGTTTGATTACAAACGAGAGTATTACACCAAATTCAGAAGGTAATGATAATGATAAACAACCTGTTGACGTTCAATCATCATCATCCATACTATCACTTCACCAAAAAAGTAATGAACCATCAGAACAGAACATGCCAATCACACGAGAGTATGCTAATGAATTATTAAAAATTCTTTGCGATATTTTAGTGATTACACATTATGCAACTCATAAATTTGAGGAATTTTATAATTTTCCTAATTCAATCGAAGATAATTTACCATTCAAGAATGATCTAGTGAAAAACAAAAATTTTGCTGTTTATCCATCTAAATTAGCGAAGAAAATGGTATGATTTTTTTCTTTTTCGTTATTCTGTTGTTGCATTAATTATTTTAATTTGTACCTGTTTTAGTAGTACTAGAGCAAACTGACAGCCGTGGGCGATTCCAAGATTGACCTTGCTATTAAACAATCATATGTTAGCCAGTTAAAATGTAGTTATTGTAAATAAACCATTGAATATCACAAAAAAGTGACAAAGTTAAGAACGATATAGTTTTAAAATGTTATGTTTAGGCTTTAGCATTATAACCCTATTACTATCTTTCTAACTCTAATAATCAGAATCCAGGTTGTGTAAATGACTAGCATTGCTTCAGCAATGTGTACTTGTGTTATTGTTAACCGTTCAATTGTAGTAACCATAATTCGTTTCAATTTGAGATTCTATTTTGTCTAAAGGTGCCACTCCTAATAGGTTAATATAGAATAGATGGAATGTGGCTATCAGTAGAACCTAAGACGTGCTTTTCGTCCTATTTGTAACTTGTCGGCTAGATGTACATGTGTCCCAGAGTTGGTTACTAACCTTGTTGGGTTTGACCCCTAATGAGCTCGTAGATGCAAAACTCTGATATACTCTGTACTAGGGCAAGATAACTGTTCAGGGCTTTTCGCTTGTGAGGTTCTGGCTTAGTGATTAGATCACTTGACTATCAACTCGCATGGTACCAGATCGAACCCTGTCCCACCTACTTTGATTTACCAACCGGATAGTATTGTTAGCCTTCTAGCAACTGAAGTGCGGCTTGAAGCCGAGTACCTAGAATCTGCACTTGGTACATGGATGAATCAACCAATTTGTTTTTCCTACAATGTTTCCCTTTTTTTAATTTAGGTGCTACTATCTACGAGATCACCCTTCTCATTAATTCAAGCTATTTGTTTTAAACAAGATGTGATTCGGTGCATAGTTGGATTGATTACACAATTTCCTCAACTATCACTTTCATTAGCCTTACACAAATTTGACGCAGATAATTACATGGTAGGCGATGATGATGTCAGCGGGAAATTAATCTATTCAACAACACCTACACCATCATTTTTATCTACCTTTGAAGTGATATTAGATGCTACAAATAGGGATCCATTCAATTCATTCTGTGTTGAATGGGCTATTCTCCTGATCCGGTTATTGGTAAAATCAAATCAACCACACAGTTCACAAGTGATGTCCGTTTTGTCTTCAAAATTGAATGGATTAAATATATTAAATGATTGAACATTGAACAATTGAATATGAGCAGAATGATGACCAATAGATACTTTTTGTTTTGTTATTGCACAGTGTGATTTATGTAGTTGTATATACGTATCACATAAAATAAATGAAGTTTAATGAGTAAAAGCATATTTTCTGTTTCTTTTTCATGGATATCTACCGCTTGTTCAGCAATTGCTTAGATATTATGAAACTCAATCACGAATTTATTTATTCAAGATTGAACTTTACTGTTTGTATGAGAGTCTGTGAAACAATACTATACTGTCTAGACCTAAGTAGATGTTATGAAGTTTGAACTGGAGACCTGCTGGGTGAAAGTGAGACGTCCCCTAACTACAAAGCGATCATTACATCATAATGTGCATGTTATAAGACTTAGTGATTTATACATTTTGTTTACCTGATAGTTATCAAATGGCTTTGTAATGTTGGAAAATAAACACTGAGACTATTTTAAGAGCAAATCGACGTTATTTACTCAGTCTTTTATTTTTATCTGATATTAGTTGAATAACTGTTGAAACACAATTATAACAGATCATTTATTTTATCCTAATATAAGGATTCTCAATCCCAACCGTTGCTGTTACCCTGACATGGTAGTCGTGCTTGCCTATTGTGGTGAACAAATCGAGCTATACTGGTTGCACTAATCATTCCTCAAAGTCCTACTATGCCAGGCAGGTCGGTTGAAGAGCGGTAAGACTAAAAGCAGAAAACCCAAGGTCATAAAGGCGAAGTCGTATGGCTGACTGTACAGAAGTGTGACGGCAGTAGGCTGTTTCATTCAGACAACCAGCATAACAGCGATGCTGCCCTCTCACAAGGATAGGTGGGGTTGAAAAAGATCGACCCTAAAAATGCATACCTCGCCTTATCCTACGGATTTCCGTCTCCGGCGGTAAGGTTCCAACAGTTATGGGGCCAACACGAAATCTCATAAAATGGTCCTGTGTGACCGACCTCAAGCAGTTGTTCCTTGGAAATCGCGGTCACGCTCTCAGGCCACTAAGACCGCCTCTAATTCAATTTCCTTTTCAGGTACCTCTAGAAAAACCCTTCCACGGTGTGGGTAGCTGGGAAGTGATAACCGCCCTCACACCTCTAGCAGCACTCAAGATCACTGTATTCATAATCAATCTCCCTCTTCAATTACTATTATTTTTCGTACGTCGACTTTCAACACTAAACTTCCTCTTTTGGCTTCTTCCTCAACTGTCCCCATAACCAACGATTCTGGTGCGCGAAACATTGTCCCAGGTCTACTGAGACTTCTCTCCGAACTACACATTGAAGCCTTCAACGTACTGATAGATTCTCGTAAATTCATCCCATCCGGCTGTGAACACGATGAAGAGCGAAAACGAGTGAGATCTAGGTTAACCAAATGTCCACGGAACGATCGTGAATGGTCGTGGGTAACGAAGGCAAAAGAGATGGAAAAGGCAGCGGCTGTAGGTAATACCAGACAGCTTTTCAAATTAATAAAAGAAACCGGAATTAAGAAGTCAAGTGTAAGCGAGATGATTTCAGCAAAAAACGACACTCTTATTTGCTCTCAGTCCAGACTTTTAGAACGATGGACGGAACACTTTAAGAGGCGATTCAGCTGGCCTTCAGCTATTCTACAACCCACCATTCGCAGACAGTCTGAATAGGACATTGAAGTAGGTCACCCGACTCTAGTTGAAGTTCAAAAGGCTATAGGTAATCTGAAACGAGGAAGAGCATCTGGTCCAGATAGGTTGGCTCCAGATGTCTTTAAATATGGTGGTCCAATTTTAGCGATTAGGTTGACTAATATTCTGGCTAAAATCTGGGAGTTGGATGTAATCCCATCCGATTGTTCACAGTCACTGATTGTCCCATTATATAAGGGGCCAAAATCATTGTGTGATAACCATAGATGGATTACTTTGACTAATATAGCATCTAAAATACTTGCCTCAATAATTATCGGTCGCCTAACTAAGACTCGTAAACTGCAAACACGAGAAAAACAGACTGGCTTGAAACGTGGTTGTGGCTGAATCAACCACATACCCACTATTCGTCACGTTTTAGAGCACAGACATGCTTATCGGCGTCCGACAATGATAGTTTTTCTTGACTTGAAAGCAGCATTTGACTATGTAGACCGAGAGGTTCTGTGGCAGTGTCTGTCATTGAAAGGTGTACCTGAGAAGTACATAAACCTTGTGGTGAAGGCTCTTTATTCGAATACTACCAGTCGAATCAGAGCTTATGACGAACTATCATCTGATTTCGCAACCTAAAATGGTGTCTGACAGAACTGTCCAGTATCTTCATTTTTGTCTAATTTCATCATAGACCTACTGCTGGAAATAACGTTCTGGTCGTCTGAATTCTCGTGAATCGGTCTCCTATCAGGATGTACACTTATTGACTTAGAATACACAGATGACAAAGTCATGTTTGGTGAAGACGCTGATGAAATGTAGAGTCTTTTGGTAGCACTGATTAACAATGCCAGAATGTTTGCGATGCGTCATTCACACTGTAGATTGAAATTGTTGCTTCAGGATTGGCCTGCGTCAACACCTAAAGTAAGAATAGGGAGTGAAGTTGTCGCACTCGTCGACAACTCCATTCATCTTGGGAATCTGATCAACACTAATGGGTTAGTTTCTGACGAAATTTCTGAATGAGTTCGAAACACTCGTTTGGCTTTTGTCGACTTACGCACCTATGGATAAGACGAGATATGCGTCTACCAATAAAGGGACGAGTATACTGCTCATCAGTTCGCTCTGATTTACTTTACGGCTGGGAAACGTGGCCATTAAGAATAGAAGATACTCGTGAATTACTAGTATTTGACCACAGATATCTTAGAAATGTTGCTCGCATCTACTGTGATCACCGGGTAAATAATAGTGAGGTTAGATGCAGGGTATTAGGCAGTGATGGTAAATCAGTTGATGAGGTTATGAATGTTCATCAACTGAGATGGTTGGGCCACATGTGACGTATGTCTGAACACCGATTACCAAAACACGCAATGCCGACTAGTAATGGCGATAGTTGGAAGAGAGTTAGGGGTGTCCAAACCAGAACAATGCATCAGTGCTTGAATTTACTAACTTGTAGTCTGAGCCATTTTGGTAGATGTAGACTAGTTGTTTGGATTCCGCATGAATATCGTAACCAATAGTTGGAGACTGTGTGTGAAATGACTCAGAATCGATCATAATGGTGTAGGCGTATACACTTTTTGTCTTTCCTTAAACTATGAGATTAAAATTGCTTCATATGTTTCTTTCTTCCTGTATTATATCCTTATAAACAATCTTTCTTTTATATATTACCACCATAAAATTAACTACTTCTATAAATTTGGTGTTCATCTTGTTGCGCTAATGAGATGTTGTGGCAACGTGGACCGATGCATATATTTGCCTGGTCCCACGTTGTAGCTGACTGACTAACTGACTGAAGAATCCTCAATAATTCTCATGCACACACACGATCCAAAGTAGGGAGTAAAACTGAGGATATTCAAATTTAGAAGCTTTAAATATTATTGTTAAGGAACCTCAAATGGTCTTCATATCTCTATTTTAGTTTATGATACTAAGCAATCTTTATGGAATATTATCATTAGTCGCTTAATATTTTTACTGTTTTAATATCCGTCACTATGAAACTGACAGTTTTCCAAAATGAGAATATAAGACAAGGAACATCAGACCCCTTAAAATTACTAGTATGAAACTAGATTTCGTAAAATATCGTACAGATTGTCTTAAATCATCTAACTGATAATCTGCATAGTAATCAGTTGTTTTTTGTTTCCAAGAAAGTTAAAAGGAATGAATCAATTGAAAGTGTTGTGTGTGTGCTCATTCAGTTAATATGTGAGAAAATATCTATTCGTCTTGTTTTTTCTTTACATGTAGTCACTGTGACTCATAAATACCTCTTTTTTCTTCGCTCGATCGGTTCAATAATGATAGGCAAAACAAACCTCTGTAGTCTTTTGTGACACTTTAAAGATTTCTCAATACTTTCATGAAATCCTGATATGTGTTTGTGATAAGAAAGCAATTTTTTCAGGTGTATCAAGTATTACAGCGTCTTATAGGTTGCTAGAGTAATGCAAAGCTAGGATAGTTGTTGTTTTTTTCTTTGATGGGAACATTGAAAGTGTGCGGTAGTGTATACTTTTTAATTACCAATTTTTACCATTAAAGGGGGTTCTCATAAAACATGAGACGACAAAGGAGTCAGAGAATCTAACTTTTAAAAAAAGTCCATAAATTTGAATAATAAAAATAGCGACAGGACTAGTGTATTATCACAAATGTGTAGTTTTTTGTTAAGATCATATGACTTTGTAAAGTGTAATTTTTCACATATATAGTAGACATTATGCATTTAACGAGTATGATATAATAATTTGTAATGATTGTTTATTCTTTTACAGAACAAGAAGAAAACATACTTCATATAATCATCACAATATGCACTATAGACAATGTTGTACATTCTTTTCGAAAATATTCCTGAATCATAATTTTAAAACACTAATTTCTCATCGTAATCAAAATGTTTTCTTTTGTCAAATCATTAATAATAATAATAATAATCGATTTAGCAGTTCATTGACTTCACTTATTCAATTAAAGCATTCTTTGTCGACAATTTCATCACAGGAAGAATTATTTCCAACATGGATTACTAGTAAATATTTACCGAATGATTGGTTACAAAAAGAATTTTCCGATCCATTTGCATTAAATAATTTCAAGAATCTGATTGTATTATGTCAAAATGAATCAAAACTGGGTCGTTGGCGTACAATAAAATCATTATGTTCTAAAGATAATGATGAAACAAATGATCCGGAATCATTATTGGACAGTTTATTCTTGAATGTCTATCAAAAAGAATTAAATATCGATGCTAGAACTGGTATTCAAATGATACACAATGTGTGTAAATACAGGTTCAGCGAGCAAAGTGAGTGAAATATT